GGGGGGGGGGGGGGGGGGGGGGGGGACTCACACCTGGTCCATTATCCGCTCGGATTCAGGACCCGATGGGATCAGGAATGCTGGAAATCAGCGCCTGTAGCTGCAGCCAGAACCAGAAGCTCTGAGGCTAAAAGAGGGCGGCTGCTCCACCTGAACATGGCCGCCAGGCCCTACGCCTCGGCGGGGCTCACCATGCGGACGTGGCCACAGATCATCAGGCCCACATTCTTGGTGAAGGAGTGAACCAGGTCCAGCAGGGCAGGCCGGGAGTTGGGGTAACCGGTCATCACCAAGCACTGGGGCCTGCAGGGGAGAAAACTCTGGTTAGTTTAACGTCTTTAACGGCTGAAGATCAGCAGCTTTTTAATCCGGATTTCTGTAACTTCTTGTTAACACGGCAACAGCACATCAAAGAGAGGAGCAGCATCAGAGGGCTTTAATCCCCGCTGGGTTTGCTGCCATTGGTAACAGTCAAACCGCATGGCGAGCAGCCGGTCCAGAACAACAGCAGGCAGACATCAGGGAATCGCCTCACAGCCGCTTAATTATCTCCCCATGGCGGTCTGATGGAGCAGCTCGCTCAGGAAACCAACAGGAAGTCCCCGTCAACCTTTCCAGAGCGGAGGTTCATGCTGCAGACGTGGTACCTGAAGTTCTTGACGTGGTCCTCCACGGCGCTGAGGTGCAGCGTGTGGCTCAGCGCCTGCTGGTAGGTCAGGGCCTGCGTGGACGAGCCCCAGTTCACATCTGCACAGACGGACACATGCAGTCAGCAGACGTGTTTATGGGTCAGAGCAGCGTGCCAAAGGTCATGTGACCCCCGCGGCGCTGGAGGCTGAGGAACGGCCGCTCTGTGTGTGTAGCTGCACGTCACACTGTGTGTGTTCAGGCTAAAGAGCAGCGCCGCCATTCAGCTGCAGGCCCTCCGACCTTTCCACAGCCTCAGGAGGGAGGGTGGGGGGTGGGGTGCTCACCTGGCTTCTTGTGGCACACATAGATGTAGAGTCCCATGACGATGACGTTGGTGAGGAGCGCCGCCGCCCAGTTGATGACGAACATCACTACGCAGCACAGCACGGCGCCGGCCAGGGCCACCCACATGTTGTAGTACCTGAAGCTGGGCCGCCAGCCTGCAGCAACGACAGCCGTTAGTCACACACAGCCCGACCCGCCCGCGGCGTCATTTAGTACAGGAACACGGCGCTGTTAGCGGGGGGACCGGGTTAAACAGCGGAGGTTAGAAGCCCATTAGAGAGTTACAGGTGGGCTACATGCTAACCGCTAAGCTAACAGACTTTAGTGATGGTGGATAACTGCTGGTTACAGGATGGGTCTACGGCGGACTCTCCCTGAAGCTCCAGGTGGAGCTAAAGCCATGAGGAGGTGACAAACAAAAGGTTCTGTACCTGCAGGTCTGGAAAGGAGTCGGTGTGGAAGGAGGAGAAAGGAGAGAACTTAGTGGAGCAACAAACAACATGCTTCCCTAAAACACTTCAGCTAGGAAAACCTTTCCATGCGTCCCTCTGGGGTTTAATGACTTAATGAGAACTGCAGGACGGAAACGCGCTCTGCAGCTGAACATCAGCCATCGCTCAGTCACTGCTTTATTAAAACCCATTGAGTGACTGGAATCCGTCCCAGGTTAGCTCCGCCTCTAAATGACCCCGCCGGGTATCAGACGGGTTTGGAGCAGCAGATCTGCAGGAGGGACAGACGATCTGTTCCACCTGAGGAAACCTTGAGTTTAAGGTGATCCTGACCAGCTGATTGGACAGTTCTAGACTTCCTGCTTCACCTACCGGATGAAGAGGACTCATCTGATTGGACAGTTCTAGACTTCCTGCTTCACCTACAGGATGAAGAGGATTCATCTGATTGGACAGTTCTAGACTTCCTGCTTCACCTACAGGATGAAGAGGATTCATCTGATTGGACAGTTCTAGACTTCCTGCTTCATCTACAGGATGAAGAGGATTCATCTGATGCATCCACTGACTGCTGATCAAATAAACAATGACGGTCAGTTTAAATGTTGATCCATCTATTTCCATATTTCTATCCCGCCATCTTGGAGGCTACAACCCCAACAGGAGAGGAGCTTAATGATGCAGAATTCACCGCACACAATCCTTCCTCTGCTCTCCACCATGGGGAAAGGTCAAAGGTCATCTCAGGAATCAGAATAATTACGACCTGAGCGGCTTTCGGTATTTACCATTATTACAATGGTCCATGAAGGCAGCATTAATCCTCCGCGATCCGCGGAGGGTCAGAGCTAACAGCTGTTAGCTTAGTTAGCTCAGACTGACAGGAAGTGGAGCTCTGGGTCACACAGAGCAATGCTGGGGTCAAAGGTCACACAGCATTGCTTCAACTTTCTGAAAACCTCCTTTAGTTTAAAATCCTGACTTTGTAAAACAGGTTTAGCGTCGGCGGTCCCGCCTGGCTCCCTGGGCTTACCTGGAGAGTTGGCCAGCGATGCGTGGAACACAGAGTAATTGATCAAGGCATAGGAAGCCAGGAAGAAGTTGGAGATGATCGGTGCGATGGTGTTCAGCTCCGCTGGAAGCAAGAGAGAAAAACAGAAGTTTAGACAGAGTGGCAGCTAGGATGTGTTTATAACTAACTATAATAAACTTTAACTTCCAATGAAAAGCTCAGCCATGGAACAACATCTGGGTTTTAATCTGGATCTCCAGGATCTAAAGGAGGCCCAGCAGATCGGTGCGTTCAGGGACTCCATGGGATCCAGCACAGACGAACATCTGCTCACAAATATCCTGCAAGAAGCTTTTAACTCCTAATCAATCTGATCCCAGCTCAGTTTTATCATCTCCAAAGGGAACGCGTTTCAAATGATTTCTGTTCCCTTTCACTGCTCCCAGCACACCGCCATTTCTGTCCTCTAAACTGGCCCAGCTAACTGCTAACAGGCTAACCCAGATGTTCTGTCCAGCTGTGGTTACTGATGGACGTCAGGAACAGAGCGCGGCCGTACCGATGAGGATGAAGCCCAGAGCGATGCCGAAGGTCAGGAAGTACCCCCGCAGCGGCTCGTTGTTCTTCCCGTACCCTTTGGCAAACACGCCGATGTAAGGGTAGATGTTGTCTTTACACAAAGCCTGCAACAACACAACAGCGTTAGGCTTCTGGGCCGCAGACGCGCGGCGGGTTTATCAGGACGCGGCGTCACCTGGAAAACTTTGGGCGCGCTCACTAAGGAGGCCAGCGCAGAGGACAGCGTGGCAGAGAAGATCCCAGCGGAGATGATGGGGGAGAACCCTGAAACCACGCTCATCACCTGCACGGAGAAAACACACCTTCAGTCAACCCTGAGCCATGACCCCCCAAGGATGCTAATATGTACTAGCATCCTTCGCTAATACATATGAAGCTTTTTCCAGCTGCTCTCATTGTAAGGCAGTGAACCTCTGGTCACCAGCAGCTAGAGGTCAGAGGTCAGAGGGGGTTGTACCTGCATGTCATTGTGGAGTCCGTAGCTGCAGGGTTCTTCAGGCGATATCTTACAGCTGGAGAAGTTGTAGCCAAACTTGCAGGCAACGCCCGTGCAGTTTTTCAGGAAGTCTCCAGTGAGGGTGTCATTCACATTTCCAGTGGCGTCCCTCACGATGCAGGAGCCTGGAGGCAGAAGGAGCGAGGTCATCCTCAGCGCCATGGGAGGCATGTCTGCACAGCCAAAGGTGAGTGGGCCTACCTGTGGAGATGGCCACCCCCATGTAGACTATTCCTGTGATCAGGATGGCCAGCAGAGTTCCTTTGGGGATCGCCATCTGAGGGTCCTGCAACAACCAGACAACGCTTTCAGCAGGACGAATTCATGACTTCTAACTACCGTCATGGAAGCAGATGCATCCAGAGCATTTCATGAACTACGGGGACAGGAGGAAGGAGCCAATCAGGATCTAATATGGGGGGTCCAGGGGTCCGACTTACTGCAAGGTCCCCGGAAATATTAGCCCCCGCCAGGATACCGGTTGCTGCAGGGAAGAAGATGGCGAAGACTGAGAAGAACGTCTCGTCTCGGAAGTCCGGCCCCATGTTCTCCCACATGAGGTCACCTGCAGCCAATGAAAGCAGAGGAGGTTAAAGGCGGCGCATCGAGCGTGGAGGCAGAGAGCCGGGCGGTTCCTGACGGCAGAGAGCCGGGCGGTTCCTGACGGCAGAGAGCCGGGCGGTTCCTGACGCACCGTCGTATCTAAAGAAGCCTTGAGGTTCCTTTGACTTCACAGGAATGAAGGACCCAATAAAGTAGTTGAAAATGGCGGTGATGAGGACAACCAGCAGGAAGATCTGGGCCTGAGGACAGAAGCAGAAGCCATTAGTCGCTAAGGTCAGGAGGTGACGATAAACCGACCCACAGGAAGTCCCACCTTGGCCTCCCACTCCATCCCTGCCACAGAGATGCCCAGGAGAAGGATTATGGTGATGGTGCCGATGATCCGGATGTCGTTGATTTCATCCGTCATCACCGCATCCACGCCCTGACACACAATCAGGACCGTTGGTACACACAGATGCACTGATGGCTGGGAGCAGAGGGGACAGACTTACTTGGAGAAGATCCACCACAGTCTCAGCAAAGCCGACCACGTACATGGCTACGGCCACGGCGTTGGCGAAGGCGAAGATCAGGCCAATGGAGCCTCCGAACTCTGGTCCCAGACTCCTGGAGATCAGGTAGTAGGCCCCCCCTGTAGGAATTCACTTCAGGTTATTTCCAGCAGACATTCACTGGCTCTAGCCATCCCTCACACCGAGCATGCATGCTGCGACAGTGGAGAGGAAACCTCCGTCTAACAGGAAGCAGCAGCAGCCTGGTTCTGGTTCTGCCAGTAGAGTAGCAGCCAGAGAAACGCTAGAGGAGGGATTGCTTTGTCATCTAGACAGACCAACCCCTTCCTCCATTTTAATGACATGCGTCTTCCTTTCCCACGCCGCCGCATCGGATGGGTTTGTGTCCAGGAAGACCCTCCTACCAGAGACCCATCAGGATCCCAGTCTCAGTGCATCTATAAATGCTCTTGCAGAGACACGGTGCTAAAAGTCTGGCCCGGTTCGGACCTCCAGAACCTCTGAGCTGAGGTCAACGTGTCGGACTCTGGTGGAACACCCAATGATCAGCTGATCTGTCCTGCCGTCCATTTCTGAACGACCTACTCCATGTCGGTTCAGCGCTTTAGGAACGGCACGGCCTACCAAGATGGTGCAGAACACCATCGGTTCTGGAGAACCTCTGTTACTCCAGAACCGAGCAGCATCCATAACCAACGCTGTCGCCATGGTAACGGGACAGAAAAGTCATCCGAGGAACTGGGAGTTACTGTATGCGGCGCTCTCCCAGGTCCTGAAGACCCTGCCGCCGTCCTGGGAGGAGCCTATCTGGGTCACCAGCAGACCTCCCATGGAGCTCATTCAGCCGTTTGGTCCATGTTAGATGGACCAGGGACTGAAAGGTTCGGGACAGCGGCTCTGGAGGAGCAGAGTCTGCTGGATGGACCTTTGGACCGGGCAGAGGACGGACCCTGGGAGCATCTGGGCCCTTCATTCAGCAGCACAGCAGCCATTCTGCAGAACAAAGTCAGAAATACCTCCTCGCACGAATCCGTTGGTGGCAATGGCAGAGGTGGAGAGGCCGGTGATGGTGGTGACCACGGTTGCCATGCCAATGATCACACAGGCTAGAGCTGCAAGACAAAACAGAAGGTTCCCCGTTAGCGGCTGTCCGCAGACCCCCCCTCAGCCCTCCGTCAGAGGACGGCTCTCATCAGGTCCGTCTCCATCAGCGGGATGTTTGCTGGCGTCCAGATGTGGACGCCTCTAACTGTTCGGACTCGGAGAGTCGTTCACATCTGGTCTGATGGAGACCAAGCTGATGAACCTCTGGTCTTTAAGCTGGGACCTTGCAGAGCGCGTCCTCTGTCCGTCCCTGAGGGGGACGCCCGCAGCGAGCTGAACAGGAACAACTCACCGATCCCTGCCTGGCCCACGATCCAGGTCATACGGATGAACAGCATCACTCCCCAGATGTTCAACATGCAGCGGACCTGCAGAGAGAAGCACAGACTGGAGCGCTTCTAGAGACACCTGCAGCCCCGTCGGTTCTGACAGGGGACAGAAAGCCGTCAGCAGAACCACTGCAGCTCTGCTGACGCCTGGATCAGACAGAACTCCTGTTCTGGGTCAGTCACCATTCCTGCCACCAGTCAGAACCTCCCATCCCCAGTGTCCTGCCTGGAAACTGGAGGCTCTGGGTCAGTGTGACCTACAGAACGATCTGAGCGCCGGCTTCATTTACACCGATCAGGGATATCTCTGGGACACGGCGGCCGGGTCGCTGCGCGCCGCACCGGCCAGCGCTGAGGGAACGGTCTTTTCTTTGCTTCGTCTGATGAAGTTCAGACAGTCTCCATCTTTTGGAGGAGCAGATCTACGGATCGGTTTGGTTTCCCATTCCTCTGAAGGACCAGCCACTCAGCGCTGCCGACGCGTCGCTGCTCCAGAACCTCATTCGTCTGGTTGGAATAGATGTTGGGGAACTAGAATGGGCTTTGCTGCGATGGTGGAAAAGCTCTATGTGTTTCTTTGGAAAAACATCAGTCTGTTAAACCCAAAGGTTGAGAATTAGAAGTCCTTCTCATCCTCTGAGCTCCTGAAGGTGTTGAACAGAAAGATGACTGACCCCAATCAGGAGACTGAGCATAGAAATATGCAAAGATCCAGAGTTTAGACTGATCCCAGGTCAGAACAGGAGCCTGGAGGAAACATGTGAGTGAGACCATGAAGGACTGCAGAGAGGTTTGGGTTAACTTAGGAACCAGAACAGCTTCAGAGGAAATTCATCCATGTAAAGCACCTTATAGACCCGATCAGAACCGCACTGATAATGCCTCAGGAACCATAAAAACCCAAAAGGTTCTGCAAACAGCAGGTGGCTTACCAGAACCCCCTTGATCCAGCCGAACTTGACCACTCCTTTGGGCTCGGCCGCCTCCTTGGCTGCGGCCTCTTCAGCCGGCGTCAGCTCGTCGCCGTTAGGGAAGCCATCCTCAAACGGCTCCTGAGAACAACAGACCAAAGCAAGCAGGTCACTGAAGGTTACCGTCTGTCAGAGCATCCAACGTCCTACTGGCTGGAGGTGGACAGGGTTCCTCTCCTCCTCTCAGCATTTAGGACCTTCTAGTGAAGGAGAAGCTTCTGCCATCGCTGGACCATTCCCTGCATCCGCAACATCATCCCAGTTCAACCAACTACAGGCCCTCAGGTTTGGTCCCATCACATCTAACAGAGTCAGACATCGACCGGACGATAGACGAGGAGAGGACGGACGAGACGATAGACGAGGAGAGGACGGACGAGATGATAGACGAGGAGAGGACGGACGAGATGATAGACGAGGAGAGGACGGACGAGATGATAGACGAGGAGAGGACGGACGAGATGATAGATGAGGAGAGGACGGACGAGATAATAGACGAGGAGAGGACAGATGAGATGATAGACGAGGAGAGGACGGACGAGATGATAGATGAGGAGAGGACGGACGAGATGATAGACGAGGAGAAGACAGATGAGGAGACGTGGATGAGGGGATTTGGATAAAGAAATGATAGATGACAGACGAGGAGACGGAGAACAAGGAGACAGAACATGAGGAGATGGCGAAGGGACCAATGACAACGGGAGAGAGGACGAGGGGATGGAGGACAATCGACAATGATCTTGATGAGCAGGTGAGCGGTGATGGATCAGGGCTGCAGGCCAATCACTCCAGAACCTTTGCATCAGCAGCCAGTTCATCAGTCAGAAACCAACCACATCAGCCTGGCCCAGTCTGGGACCAGCAGCATCCAGGTCCAGTCCTCAGGCAGCACCAGACTGGGACCCGGATCACTGGACTGATCTCCATTTGGTGTCTTTGAAAGAAGTTCTGATCCATTCAGAGTCTGGTTCCAGCATCAGACTTAGATCAGAACCTTCTCAGCAGCAGGACGCAGCCAACAGGTGAAGATCTGAGCCTCCTTCCTCCGCTAAGCTAAGCCGACTCCTCTGACCCGGTTCACCGAGGCCCGCTAGCGGTCCCATGTGTTGCTGCTTCAGAGGAACCCTCCTGGGATACGTGGCCCCGGCCTCAGTAGCTGGACCCCCCAGGATGAGGAGACCAATCAGAGCTTCTGTCTCTCCATCTGTCTCATAATTACACCCCTGATCATCATTAGGAGCAGAGAGGATCCGCTGAGACCGAGCAGCCATGGATCCAGACCAGGTACGCTCCAGTTCTAGCTAGAACTGCTCATCAGGCAGACCTGAACAGAACCACAGCCGTTTGCTTTAAAGCTTCAGGAGACGGCAGGGCGGTGACTGGTACCGGCCCATCGGGTCTGCTCAGTTTGGATTCCACTCAGGACACATGGCTGAAATGAAGGCTTTAATAAAGAGCGCCCCCAAGTGGTCAGCTGACAAGGAGGCCAGTTTATTTGAAAGAATCCAGCATGGCGAGGTGAGGGAAGTCTTGCTGCTGGACCAGAGCCATGAAAACATCAGCGCAGAGCCGTACCAAGGCTAAAGGCTAAGCTAACCAGGTGCTAACTGGAACCACGACACTCCAACTGGTTCCAGTTACCTAGGCCAGGATCTGGTTCTCTGCTCAGTTCTGGTCACAGACCTGCCAGTCTGCTCTGCCTTCTGGTTCTACAAGAGAACACAGATAGAGCCAAACCTGACAGCTGGACTTCACCAGCAGATGAAAACAAGCATAGAATGCTCTAGTTTGGTTGGTCTGTGCTGCTCTAGTTTGGTTGGTCTGTGCTGCTCTAGTTTGGTTGGTCTGTGTTGCTCTAGTTTGGT